TAGATGACCTGTACATATTTTATGTTCAAGATTCTGCATCTATTATTTTATAAAATAATGAAAAAAAACATAATTTGACATGTTTTAATTTTAATATAGGATATTTAGTATATATTATTTGTAAAAAATATAATACATATATAAAATGGAAATCTCTATTACAAAACTTAAATCCTAAATCAAATTTTTGATCAAAACATATTGCACATAAGATTTAATTACTGTAATATTGAAAGTAATTTTTTAAATATAACGACTTTTGTTTTATAAATGTTAGAATGATAGTGGGCCATTTTACCCAAAATGTGAGTGAAAGACGGTTATAATAGTACTTATAAACAAATAGTGAAAACGAAAATAAAAATACATGTCATATTACAATTTACATACCTATTTTATGTATCTAACGTTGATTGCGATAGCTTAACTATAATTTATTTGACGTTACGACAAGTTAGTGGACACATGAGAAATTTTACAGGTAGTCAAAAATAAAAGTATAATATAATATTCATAATCTTGCTATTTCGAAAAATGTATGCACGTACACTACGATAAATATCGATTATCTTTGTAACTGATTACACAAACGTAATGTTTTGCAATTATTAGAGAAATTATAGCCTATGATTATCTTTCCGGTACGGCCATCATACCCGAGTTTACCCTATATGTTTACACATATATTCTCTGTTTATATTGAAAGTCTAAATATTTGAACTAAACTACATTTAAATATTTAAATGTATTTTAGTTTAAAAGTATTTAAAGACCAGAAACAATCAGAAATCAGAATGTCCAGAATGGCAGTGCTATTAATGTGCTTTACAGGGATTGGCATTTGCATTTAATTTTTGCGAGAACTCTCTGCCTCCGTGATATTATTCTCGAGAATTCTCGACAATAATTAATGCCGACAGCGGGTTTTCATGGCACGATTATGATATTCATCAGTGTTCTATTTACTGAAAGGTAGATCGCTTAAAATGACCGTACAGCGGCGAGTCGACGGCAATACACCGTAGCCGATTTCTCTCTCCGGATTAAATAGAGTAAAAATAAAATAACATTCTCCAGCCATAAACGGGCGCATACAACATGCTGGTGACTTAAGATACCGGTGAACGTCACTAATGAAACACAAGATACCCGTTTGACGTCATTGGGCCGTGCCGTGAGAGCAGGTTTCGTTCCCCCCCGAAATTCCTGCCTAACTGTGAAATCCCCCGAGAGAAGAATGGCCGTGCGTATGCACGAATCATCCGATGCCCCGGGTCTTAGTCACGTTCTATATTCTCACGATGCGAAAGGATCGGCGAACTTCCTGTAACCTCGAAAATTTCATTGCCACAAATGGTGCCAGTCACCAGCGGACACCATCTGCGCGCAGATCGACACGTGTAGTGGACGATATCTGGCACAGTTTACCGATACCGAACGTTGTTACCGAAAAATCGATATCGCGATTCTGGAACATCACCATGCATGAACATCGTGCAGTCACGCGATGTTTACGCACGGTGAAAGCAGTCGACGAATATTCGTCGATTCTTGCCAGATCGACTCTTAAAGCGTGATATCGAGCAGATAATCCGTAAGTGGATGCCGTATTTTTCCAGAACCGTAATCTTCCACAACCATTGACTTTGACATCTTCATGAAGAATTTTACACACGATTATTGCGTAAGATGACTTTGCCATTGATGTCACGTTGTTGAGTTTTGTAATAAAGCATAATAATAATTTTACGATACCCGGTAGTGTGGAAAATCACGCAAACGGTACGAGTCTCTTAACTGCTTCTTTCAAGCTTTCTCAAACGCATACAGATGAAGAGCGTGCGCTTAATCTTCGCACTTCGTTCTCAATGATATTCCAGACGAGAATCATTGCTGTGTTTTTAACACTTTGAGCTTGAGTATTTTTAAATTCAATGTTACTACAGAAAGATATGACTGCGTTCCACAAAACGTTCTTCAGAAAAATTAAAAAATGAGGATCTATAATTCACGTCATATATATTGGATTTTAAAATTTATCCCGGACGTTTTAGAATATAACCTAAAGAGGTATACATAAAAAAAATATAACCTTATCCTTAGCGGAAATCTCTTATATAAAGAATCTGACAATAAATGCCTCATATCTCATGTATATGTATAGATTAGATTGAACTGAATACAGAATACAGAATACTGAATACAGAATTATTCTACCAGGTTATAAATAACCATGTAATATTTTGAATTATTAATTAAAAAATGACGAATGTATGTGAACATGCGTGAGATATGACCAGTGAGATATGACGCCATTCAGCGCCATTTACCGTCGTGTATTTGTAGATTAGGCCAACAAAAAGATTCTGTAAATTCATGGAAATCCTTTAAGTTATGAATTAAAGAACATTGGTGTATTATCGCGCCCAATTATTCGCCAATCTTCTTTAATTAACAACTCAAAGATCTATGCGGTTTGCAAAATGGTATAGAATTTTACCGTTCAGTTTGACTTAATTTACATATGAGATTCTTATTAGCAGATATCCTGTGTATAGTTTTTTACAAGAGAATTCTTCTAAAACTAGAAAAAAAACAAGAAACTTTTATTGAAAGAATATTCCTGATACTGAGCTTTTCTCAAATTGGTAGTGGTATATCTTGAAGACAATTATGAAGAAAATATTCTTTGCTGAAAATAATCTTTACTTCAAAGAAGGAAAGTAAATTAAGTATAATCGTTTTTTTTAGAATTATATTTTACTCCGTGTATACAAGAGGATTCTGCTACGGATATTTTTTGGGTGCAGAATGTTTCAAAAGTTTCATTTGAAAGTTGGTTTCAACAAAAAAAAAATGTGAAAAGACCTATTGTAGAAAATTTGTAAGGAAGCAAGAATTTAGTATTTCTTTCTAAACAAGTAAATTCATCCGATAGCTTAAGTAGATCTCCTTACTAAATAACGTAGGCTAATTAAAATATCTTTATATTTAGAGATATCATATCTTTAAAGACTCAGAAGATTAACAACGCGTTTCGATTTTCTGTAGTTAATCAACAACAAACTGTACGTGTACACATACATCTGTTCAATTTTTTGTACGAAGATTACAGCCAAAACAAAACTTGTTCGCGCGACTTCCATTCGACGAGCGTCATCTTTATCATTTGTACTTGAAAGAATTGTCGCTAATCTACGTGTAATTGTCTCCGCGTAATTATACGCTTCGTTGCCGGTCGTTCCAAACAAACAACCGCGTTTACTGTCTTATCGAGCAAGACGAATTGTCGGGAGATAACCCTTTCGACATCATCCACGAGCGCGTCTCGCGGTCATCATAATTTGCCGACACTTGAAAACAATTAGCTCACTCTCACCGAGATCGAAGAGCACGCAATGGCCACGTGATCGATCGGCCGCACGTTGATCGATTGTGATAATCTCAAGAGCGAGTGGTTTTTGATTGGTGATGTTATCGATCGGACTATCGACCGCAAGATCGAGAACGGCACGTGTCGTCTGTAATTATTTATTAAGGCGATATTCTGAAAAAAGAGGGAAAGCCGCGAAAAAAGGTGCTTTTTCCGGAATTCTTTTCTTATAAGAAAACGAATAGAACGAATGAAATGTCAAAATTTTCATATTCTTTTAACCTTATTCTTTTCCTATTATATAACTGAAGGATTTTCCTATTTTAGTGGAAAATTGTTGTATGTTAAAATAAATTAGCATATCAAAATAATACACTGATTTAAAAAATGTTATTGCGAAAAAAGTTCCCTAACTTCACTGTGGCAGTCAACGTGTTAAAAAACACATGTCTCATGTTCAGATAAGAGGGACAAACTTTTCCCGCGTGCGATGATGGCAACGCACGTTTGCATTTTCGCGCTAACTTTCTCGTTGATTCACGCGTTAAGCGCGTATTTTTGGCAAGGACAAAGCGTGTCAGATACATTCGCAGGATAATTCTCGAGCGTTTGCAAAACGCGCTGGAAATCATCATTATTTTGTACGCGAACAAATGTTCAATGTTTGATTTAATGCCGTAAAACGCTGGTCGAAATATTGGTTCTCTCTCTCTCTCTCTTTCTTTTTCTCTCTTTCTCTTGGGCAGATTTATCGGAAAGAATATGTTTGATACGCGATAACGAATCTATTTTTAAAAAAGAAACACGATAATTCGTATATTTTTCGAGAGTCACAATATATAAATATTCACGCGAAGATTACGAAACATCGAAACTTATTGCGAGCGTTTGAAATATGAATGAATACAAACATGAAAGTAAACACCAAAATCTGATATCAGCATTTGCATTGTTATACGACTTCTTTCTATTTCTCTTTTTCTCTGCTCTTCCCGAGTCAAAATTTTAGCCTGAGTTAGAATTTTCTAATATCTGTATACTTTGAAGGATCAGTATATACTTAATACACACGAAGATTGCAGTACTATCTTTAAATGATAGAAAACGCAAATTGTAGGTTCTAAAGAAGAACCTCTCGGCAGTGTTAATAGGTTAGAACGAATCAAAAGAGGTTAATGTAGGCTTCAGAATATCAAAGTAGGCGTTAAAGAGAATATTGAAGTTGGAAGTAAGATAAAAATTCCAACTGTCTCTTCCAGAGATATTCTATCAACGTACATAAAAAGAAACAAAGGAAAAGAATCATGTAAGACTCGTCGGACTAGTTTTGCAAATATGAACAACGACAAAAATATCGAGTCAGAAATATCTTTTGCATACAGCCTCGATTTGTATTCAAGTTCAATTGTCTTGCGAACATTTCGATAAAGAACGAGATTACTTGAATGTACACGTTTTCACTTTTTATACGATTTACGTCACACCTATATATTATAGTCTTTCCCCGGTAAATATTTCTATCTGTCCTTCATTGTTTCTTTGTAAACGGCAAGCAAGAAATAGACGTCCTATTAGCATTCTGGTTTACGTGCGGCTCGTATAATTAAGAGAAAAGTGTTGCTCACAGGTACAATATGCGCAAGAAAGATATCGCTGACTCGCATCGTCGTGACTCCGCAAATCGGATCGGATCTATCATGCGAGGTCGCTATGGAGGACAACTAAATTTTTACGGAGACATTTGACGACACCAAAGTCGCGATGGAGAACGAGCGTCACGTGAGTGTTTCGACAAGTGCACGACACTACAATGTGGTTACGACATTAGTATTCAAGTTCGTCGAAACGATTGTCTGACCTTCTGACGATCGACAATGAAACTTTCAGAAGTAAGCTGCTCGGAGGGAGAGAGACGCCGGAGGGAGAGGATAAGAAAAGCTCCGATCGGCAGTCCTCCACTTTTCACTTTTGCAAGACTCGCCGATGCAAATCCTTCATTTCTTTTATCATTATTACAATCACGCGCGACAAATAGTTCTATCTAATTTTTTACAAACACCGCGTGTTTTTTATTTCGCGGAAATACACACATTCCTTCCTTCCTTCCTTCAATATATGGCTACAGGCCTCTATAAGAGTAATGCCCCTACGCCAGTTTCCGATTAATGATATAACTCGAGAGCAAAGTCTTGGAAATTTCCAAGACACGATCCAAAAAAATCACAAGGTCCGAACATGTTCGAACACGTCTTGTCGTAAATACACACATTCGAAAGTGCATACTGATATCTACAAGTGTGTTTCTAACAAAGTCGCGGAACAATCGCACATATATAATAACGCAGATTATCAACCTCTATCATTCTGCTCTCTTTTCATGGATAAAGTCGAAGCGACAATAGCGATAGCATCAATAGGGATCGATGCTATCGGAATTCTTGAAGAACTTTATCGTCCAGAACTTCAAGCTTTAGCCGGAATCACTTTGTGATTGAAACTTTGTGATTTCGCGGCGCGAGTCGACGAAAGAAAAAAATATCGTTTAGTTATACTAAAGAAAAAAATTACTTGTAAATTCATTTGTGAGGATATAAATTTGATTTTTATGAAATGAAATAATATATTATGATAATTTATGAAATAATTATATTATCACAATATATACACTATCCACACAGAGTGAAATGATGTTCATTTCTGTAAATAAGCCTTGTATCCTCCACAAGTTAATTTTCAAGTATTCTTTTTTCTCGGCGCAGAATCAAGGCTAATTAGTATAATAATCGATGTATACGAGGAGAATACTATAACTTTCTTATAAAAACTTCTTCAATTTTGATGATGCAGAAATAGGATGCAGAGTTTATTCTGCCAAGAAACATAAATTATTTAACAATAAGACTCCTAAAATACATAAATATAATGTGTACGAAAAGAAGAGATACATAAATTGAGGCAAAGAATGAGGGGGGACGGAGAGGTTGACATATTTCCCGGCTACAAAATTCTACAGTAACTTTTTGTTACAAGATTCTCTTCGTGCAAGTAGCTCTAATCTCGTCGAATGACTCACCAATAACTTGAATTCGATTTAACTGGAAGTCGCGGTATATAAGCGTTTGTGAAATTATCCTCTCGTCCCATCGGTCAAAGTCCACTTCTTAAGTGATTTTTGGGTGTACGACAAACAACCGATTGCGAACTGCTGCTCGCGGTATTGGAGGGGATCGCGCGATCGCGCTGTGGCAAAGCCGTGGCAATGGTGTCACGGTAAAGTCATTGCTGCTAATGTCGTACTTTCTACGAACGATGACCAAGACCGAAAGGCGGGACACGTGCCCCGCGTGAAATTGCGCCGCGACGCAATCCTTTCCGAATTCATCCCGCAGGGGTAAATTCACCTTGCGCGTTCCACGCGCATGTGATACAGTTTTACACTCGACGTTCGCACTTTATCCTTTCGGGATCTCGTTGCGATCCATCGCAAATTGATTTTGCGATTTAAACCGCACAGACAGGAGAGAATAATATAGCTTCTTTTCGATGAAATTCCTTTCAATTCTATCGTATTTTTTAGTAGAATAAACCGTCAATAAATCGTCTGTTTTTTAAAGAATACAGGAAAGTAATAATAAATAAGTACAAATATTAAAGTAATGAATAAAAAATAATAAATAAAAATAAATAAAAATAAATAAAAAATAAATAAAAAAAGTTGTAAATTTCGAAATTATAAATTAAATTAATTTTAAAATATTTGAAGTTTTGTATATGAAAAACTTAGCAAATTTTAAGACCAATTTTAAGAATATAGTAAATAGCAAATTTCAAAGAACATAGTAGATTTTAGTATAGACTTTCAGTTCGTAAAATATAAACAGTGCATACGATGCATGGAGTATGGTAATCAAAATTTCAGTAGAATTTCATCCAAAAATTATAATAAAACGTAGTAAAAGTGACCATAAACATAATTTTTACTATACTTATATGGTAATTTTTATTATGTTTATTTTTACTATGTTTTTATTATGGTCACTTTTACTATGTTTTATTATAATTATCATGGTGTCAGTCTATTCCCAAAATATTAAAATTGTATTGTAACATTTATTATAATATTTTCTCCATGTAATAAATTCAAGCAAAGTGTATATATTTCTCTTGCTTAGAAAGAATACTTTGTCGCAACTGTTACTGTCACAAATGCTCTCCATGTAACAATGCGTCCTTTAAGTTACCGGAGATCTATTGATCTCATAACATAATCTGTCTCACGAAGAATTTATTATTTACATACCCATTATTACATACCGATAGTCTTTTCGGAGCGCGCCTACAAAGATATGTCATAATGCGTACGTAAACACAATACATCGCGCTACGTGAAACAAAAAATTCGATTTCAGGTGTCACTCGTCTGCCTGTGCTCGAATAAGAGCACTTAAGGCGTTAATAGTCAAATTACACGTGTGTTTGTACGCAATTAATCACTTGATAGATAATCCGGAGACCGGGAACACAGTTAAGCACACGAATGCCTGCCGCACGCTCGAAGACGCGTGTTTCTCCCGCCGCTTAAGAACCTATCTCAACATTTTAGCCAACGGTTCTCTGTTGCTTTCAAGGCGCGTTATTACGCAAAACAAACTATGAATTTCCATGAGGAAAATACTCAGGCACAAGTGACATGTCCACGGGAGCGTTGCGTAAAGCGCGTGCAACTCCCAGCTCGACGAAAAAGCTCGGTGCGCGCTCGCGTTTCTCGCGAAGTATTTCAGAACGCGGCGCAGGTGCGAGTAACTCGCAATCCGTCGAGCGTCGCTACCCCTGACTACCAACAAATTGACTTCTCAAGCGCATGTCGCCGTATGAAAAAGTCTCAATAAGCCTACCGTACGCACGTACATACGTACGTACGCGCGTACGTACGCGGTCAAGATTGTGTCGCAACGATCCGAGTGTGATTTCATTAGCAGCGCTCTTACATACGTGTTGCTCGAAAGTTGGCCAACCGCTTCATTCGCGGCCCGTAACGGCCGTACACATAATAAAAACAAATTCGAGACGTTCCGAGTACGAAGAGTTCGCTTGCTCGATCGATCCGGAGAGCACAAAGGGAGCGAGCTCTCACCCTTTGTGTTCAAAACGCCGTATTTGAGATCTGTATTAAAATAATTACTTGAAACTTGTTCCATATAAAATACTCAAATCAGAATTTAGAGATAAGTTTGAGTTTTCCATCATATAATATATGAGACATTACATTTATAATCGCGATTAAATTAAAAAACTTACATTTAACTTTAAATTTAAATCTGAATATTTCACTTCAAATTTGTGAAATACTCAAATCTGAATTTAGAATTAGATTAGGATTTTGCATTTGAATTATATATATATATATATATATATATATATATATATATATATAT